GCCACGGACTGGGGGCCGGGGGGAGCGCCGGTGAAGGAGAAGCTGGTCAGACTTGGGTGTGTTTTGTAATGAGCCAGAGGACTGTCCAGCTGGTGGGAGGCGGGCTGCAAAAGAGGGACGTGACGGGAGACCCCAGAGGGCTCCGTCTGGGCAAACCTGAGGGCGGGGGAGGACCGGGTTGGTGAAACCCGTCAGACTCCCACCAGGAGCCTGGGGCCACCCTCCAGGAAGGCCCTGAAATCGCTCGAACACAGCCTGCTTTAACGGCTCCTCCGAGGTGCTTCCGGTCTGGGAAGCCGCATCGACTGCCACGCAACCGCACACACGCAGCCGTCGCTCCTGCAGGTTTCTGCAAGCCCCGCTACGCCTGTGGCGGTCACGCAGCCACGCAGCCACCTGCAGCCACCTACGCGGCCACGGAGCGCTCGCGGCCATCGGCAATAAACACACGTCCGACCAGAGAGGAAAACCAAGCACGCGCCGTTGTCCTTAATCACTCAAATAAGGAAACTGTTCACTGCGTTTAAAAAGGAAATCTTTACCATATGATGTAGACACGCACTAAAAATTAATGGCTTGTGAACCAGGTCGGAGAAAGAGAAACAAGAACAGTCATGTTAGAACTGAGCATCCAGCCAGGCCGCCGCGAGAGGCCGCCCCCCCGCCCGGCCCCCCCATGGAGCGCCTCCCCTGGACGGGCACAGGCAGCTGAACCTCAGAGGTGCTGAGTGTGTCAGGGCCCGCCGGCGGCCTCGGGGTTAAGTCTCAGAGCCATCACCGCTGCAGCCCCGCTCGATCCCCGCCAGGGGGTGCCCGCTGGCGCGGCAGGCCCCTCCTGACTCCCCGCTGCCCCCTCAGCAGTGGGCTTCGTCCACCTGCCTGTCTCTGGAGCACTCGCTCACCTCCCACCCCGTACGCTGGCTGGCACTCCAGCGTCTGGATGCATAAAGAGGTAAAATAAATCTTTAAAAAAGAAAAGGAAATTTCCACTAAGAAAGAATGTAGAACACGTTTGATGATTCATAAGAGACAGAGCTTCTCTCAGGCAAACACCCTGCGTGCTGAGCTGAGCCAGTCTGGACCGTGAGGTGCCCAGAGCACAAATCAGAACGGCTCCTCCAGGCACCTGCGAGGCAGCGCGGTCCCCAGCCCCCCACACACCGCGCCCACACACACACTGTG